CACACACACACACACACACACACACACACACACACACACACAGTCACAACAGATGCACACTCTCTACATGTGCAGTAGTAAATGTCCTGCTCTCCTACAATCCTTTTATTCCAAATCACAATCTTCTTATACTTCATCCGGTTTATTTATTATTATYTTTTGTCTAAAGATGAATCTGGTCTGTGTTTTACGTCAGCTTCGTCTCCCTCTCTCCTTCGTACATGTAAGAGTTGTTGCCAGGCGGCTGCACGTACTCCTCCGACTTGTCCCAGTCCGTCACCCATCCTGCTCCCCCGCCACCCACGCCTCCTCTGTTGGAGTCCACCACCGGCTGGCTCATGGCCCCATACTGGCCCCCTCCTCGGTAAAGCTCCTCGGTCTCGTTGGCCAGCTCATCCTCGTCGATTATGCCGCACTTCTCCTCGCTCGTGTCCTCTATGTCGGCCCACCACTGCTTCTCTCCTGACGCAAAGATTCCTGAGYGAGAGAAGGAACAAAGAGTGAATTTAGGTGGGATCCTCTGAGCCTTCCTTAGAACAACGTTGAGGGTCTCACCATARAAAACCACTCCTCCGTAATGAACCATGGACGCTATGAGGAACACGTACTGCCATTCCTCGCGTGTCTGAAAAGATTTAAATGAAAGTAATTTGTTTAATCGTCACTATTAAATATGGCAGAGCTAAAACAGACAAATAAATTACCTTGTGCTTGGTCATAGCTCCCACTATGAGAGGACACACCATTCCTGACAACGTCCCCACGCCGTTTGAAATACCCATCAGGATGCTGGCGTATCGAGGCGCAATGTCCAGGTGATTGACGTTAAACCCTGAGTAAAAAAAAAAACAAGATAAACTTTTCTGTCTTTTTCAGTTTTGTGAAACCAGATCACAAGACTGAAAACAATTGTTTGCTTCGTTGACAAAACTGAATAGAAAATAACCACAACACAACCCCAAATCCAAAAACATAAATATAAACAGAAGACGATGGTTTGAAAATCTTTTTCAACTTATACTTAGTTAAATAATTATAAATGTAGTAAAGAAGAACAAGATTTTGTTCAAACAATTTGCCAGTATTCACTCATTTTGAATTTGATGCCTGCAACATGTTCCATATAAAGCTGGGACAGGGAGCTGAGGACACTAACTGGTGAAGCTTTGTAGGTGGAATTCTTTCCCATTCTTGTTTATTGTCCACACATTTTTTAATGGGAGACAGGTCTGGACTGCAGGCAGGCCAGTCCAGTACCCGGACTCTTTTACTATGAAGCTACGCTGTTATAACATGTGCAGAAGGTGGTTTGGCATCGTCCAGATTCTTAGAAGTTTTTGATGATATTATGAACTGTAGATGATGACATCCCTATTTRCTCACACAGTTGTTCACAAAGTGCTGAACCTCGTCCCATCCTTGCTAATGAGTGACTGAGCCTTTCAGGGATGCTCCCTTTATACCCAACCATGGCACTCACTTGTTTCCAATTAACCTGTTCACCAGTGGAATGCTCCAAACAGACGTTTTTTTTAAACATTTTTCAAAATTCCCAGTCTTTTATTGCCCCTGTAGTGTTTTGTAACATGTTGAAGGAATAAAATTCAAAATGAGTGAATATTTGCAAAAAACCCCAATAAAGTTTATTTGTTTGAACAGTAAATATCTTGTCTTTGAAGTGTATTCGGTTG